GGGACGGCACTGGACAACAAATCAGAGTTACCTACTAACAATTTTTCTGTTCAATTTCCAAAATTTTATAATCACCCGGTATAACAAGTGATTAAAATTCATAATTAAATCCATAGGTAGGTACGAGTACTTTTTGAGCGTTTTGTACTTACACAATCAAGAGTGGGTGTACTAATTAAAATTTTCGACATAACTTGTTTACGAATTAATTACATCAACGGGAGCGTTAAACTTTCTTTATGCCGTTCCGCCTGCACGGATGGTTCTTCGCTTTTTCATTTACAACAACCCCGTTAAGGTTGAAAGTTATTAATTCTCTGGAGAGCGTTTTATTTAGCATTTTTATTTAATCTGAACGTAGTTTTATTATCATAAAAGGATCCTCATTTTTCCGAATTAAATCCTTCATCTCTAGAGGAAGGGAAATGATCAATTCTATGAGAGTAGTGCCGAGATACAACCAGTGCCGGCACTAAATAATTTTCACAAATTGTGTTGAATAATAGTAAGTGGGAATTAATAGAAAAAAAAAATAATAATTAGAAAATTTGTAAAAAATATATTGATTTTATAGCAAAAAAGAAAGTTAAAAATATTAAAATCTTGATGATTATTTAATTGAAATAAATGCGTACGCTCCTGTTGAACGTGGCGAAACTCCAACGGAGTTTTGTTGGTCGGAACGCTTCGTTAATCTAACGCATCCTTGGAGAATACAATAAAAAATAATCTGGACAGAACTCCCTCCCGAAGCTGCAATTTAACCACCAAGAAAATCATTGTAACGTTTCGCTTTTTAGCATTACAGCCACCTCCGTTTTACCTCGGCGTCGGGGCAAATTAAAAATTAATTTTATCTTGGTTACAAGTTTAATTAAATTAAAATATGAACGACTCTCGCAGCGGGTGTCAAATTTAAACTTTCGACTCTTTTAAGATTACCTCCGACCCCGGCGACACAAAAAATTATAATTAAAAATCTCCTTCGGGGATTTAATTGCGGAATGTAATGAGGATCTCCCTGAAAATCGGCCAACTAAACTTACTTTACAATCTTTACATCATCTCCTCCCGTTCCTGGTATAAAAACTTAATTATACCAGCTTATTAGCATTACAATTTAGTTAAATTCTTGGTGTATATTTACAATATTCTTCTATCTTAATAGTTAATTTTAATCCACATTCTTCAATCATTATTGAATCATATAAATAACTCATATTAAGTGGTCCATTAAGACATTTGCCTCTATTTTTTTGTTATAATATTATACAAAATCTCTCAAATATTAACCACATTCGATATTGATTTGGCTCAACATGCAGACTGTTTTATGAAGCTAATGATGTCATATGAATACGACAAAGCTCAAACATTACTGCAATGTGAATGTGACTGTGTATTTTAACGGGTGTTTATAATACACTAATCCTTCGGAAATAGACACATTCATCGATTCACGTTTCCCTACAAACCGTTATTTGATCAAATTAAACGGAAAATATCGCTTGTCAGGATATCCACAGCGTCGGCACAGCCGATTTAGATTTTATAAGTAAAATTTTTTTGCTAATATACATTGTATGGCATTATTACATTAAATTGTAGTTAAATCAACAATTTCTTTTTTAATAGAAATTAAAGATACGAAGTATTTACCTGCATAATTTTTAGTTAATTTAAAATAGGTTATAATTTTAATGAATCGAATATTTTTCCTATATACTTCGATATTTTATTTTAGCAGAAAAATAAGCGAGAACTCCACTGGCAATTCCCATTTATTGCTCCCGACTACACTTCGGGTGCTCTTTTAATTAATCAATAGGTTTGTTTTTTCCGGTTATATTTCATAATCAACGCATCGAAACACAAAAAACTCTTTTGGAAGTATAAACAGCCCGACCGTTTTTGCATGAAACAGCACCGCATTAAAAAAGTTCTTCAGCGACATGATCAAATATTTTTTCATCGCTTGCTTAGGGAAGGAGCGCCATTTTTGTGCGTAATTTTTAATATTGGTTTGTTTCTGAAACTCGGTTTACACTTAACCCATCCATTAATTAGCATCATCTTGCTTTAAGTCGAGTTCAGAGTTGAAACTGTTGTTAATTTCCAAATTCGATTGGCTAACTCTTGACATGTTTCCAAATTTAACTCTGATCACCAAATTTATTATCATTTTATCCACCAAAAAATGTAACCAAAGCTCCCATACTTGATTGATCATTAAACTTCAATAATAGCTCCAAGATTTTTATATACAAATAAATAGCTTCGTGTTAAGCAATACTTTCGTCCATCGAAGCATCCCACTTTAGTCCTCATGTTTTCATTAATTCGTAACATATCGTAGGAGCACGCGTTGCCGCCGAATTACTCACGGTCGTGGGGCCAGAAGGGGGGACGCACGCACACTCGGGTCCAGCCCGTTCTAACCCCGCTCTACATACTTAAACTTAATCGGATTTATTATTCGGATGCGATCCGATATATTGCGGATGCGGATGCGGCAACGGGCAGGGGTCCCGGCGCGACACTAATCGCCTGGATGACAGTTCCCGATACGCTCGACTTACCCGTAACCAAATATTTAACATATTTGTATTAGATTTATAATTGAAAAATTAACATAAATCTTACACTGGGAAATTGGTATTTTACCGTTACGTTGTCGAATATCATTTAACATTATTATACAAACACCCTAAAAAAGCTATCATTAAATAATATTTTCAAGAGAATAAAGTTGCGCATGTTAATTACATCTACAGCTATCCCTATCGGTCTGTAAGCGATCAAATTGTAGAATTTTTATACACTCACTTTAACAGATGATACAATAACGAGATAGTGTTGTAATAGGTACCTACATATTTAGATTAGATTTATAATTGAAAAATTAATATTACTCTAATTATTATTTTAACATTAAATTATTAAACATTACCAATTATACAAACACTTTAAATCAACGAATAATTTTTTGAGTGGAAATAAAGTTGCGCATGTTACGTCTACAGCTATCAATATTAGTCTGTAAGCGATGAAAATATAGAATGAGAGCGTCACTCACCTTAACTTGTGATTCAGTCATTCCTAAGGCATACGCTAGTTTTGCTCGTTCGGGTCCAGCCAAATACTTGGTTTGTTCGAAGGTTTTTTCCAGCGCGAAAATCTGCTGGCCGGAAAATGTAGGCCTCGTGTGCTTTTTCTTCGCGTCCTTGTCACCACCCATTCCGCCCATATTACTCTGATTCACTGGAAGAAATCGTCGAATTATTTTTAATTGATCGAACATTGCAGGCGGACCAGCGGACTGGTCTATTGATGTATCGAATATCGAATTCGTTAAATGTTTGATGACGGGAAAACCGTTCCTTTAATCCGTTTGGCAATAAAACAATCCGTATGGTAATGGTGGACAATTTATTTTACATCATACGACGAGCCAACGTGGACTTTATATCCCTTTTGGATCATTATTTTTATTGGGCGATACAATAAAGCCATCAAAATGCTTGGGATACGGGACAGCAATATAAATTCTATCTATTCAAACGTTAAGGAAAAATTATGGTTGTATAACAGCCTAATTATAACATGTTATAGCTTGTTTGTATGCCGTATAGTACCTAGGTATGAGAATATTAATTATACCTTTACTACTTAACTAATTTAATGTTTGTAGATATTATTGGTTTGTGCCAGTATAATTTGAAAGATGTATGTAGATGCATATCTTGTGTTTTTTAGTTTTATCTCTTTCAATCTAATAAAAAACCGCGAAAAATATATTTTTATTGCCTATATGTTTACTTTAGTTATCTGACAGTTTTTGGAAAACAGCCAAAAAATGAATTGATGATTATGGGAAAGTTTCAGTATCCACAAAAATATGAACGATACGTATTCTCTCCAGCGTTTCAAGATTTACGAGATTTGTTTCATACAACTATTTTATATTTACTATAGACATTTATCACTACAATATAGATAACAATAATAATAATAAGGTCCTGCAGCTATAATAATTAATAAGTTAAGGGATCGTTTTATTTGATGGTATTTGCAAAATGCCGGATAAAATGATGAAATTAAAAGCACCCTTATACAAGAAGCGCGCCCGAAACTTCCTCGTTGATATAACGCGTCATCTGTATATTAAAAGAACACGATATTGTTATGATTATGTTTCGAGATAACTGAGGGCATTGCCAACGGTTACCCCTGCAAACTTACACAGCAAAAATTGAACATAACATTACGGAAAATCGGCTGCAGGGGGATGTTTTTCCGATGAAATGAAAATCTGATTTTATTACGACTTATACGCATAAAATTTCGTATATGCGATTCGTATAACACAAACCGACATGGCGCAGTTGGCAGGATAAAAGCGCGTCTTTTGGCTAACTAAAGTTATTCCTGTAATGCATAAACACGTTTTTGCACGGACCACCTCGGGTTGTTTTTAACAGAATATTTCGATGTAAATGCGATGTAACAAAGTGACTTGCATTCAATGCGACGAGCTTCGTCCCTTCCTTATTCCATTTTTATGAATTCTAAAACGGACGTGACTTATTTCTTAATACCGGCATCGAAAAGGATCACGAAATTATCGAATAAAAGTTTGTTGCAGTGAAATTTTCATCAGTTGTTTACCGATACAAATCCACCGTTTCTTCCACGCACTCTTCATTAAATATATGACCAAATCCAATCAAACAAGAATTCGTTTTGGTTGAAACAAAATATATACGTTATACGGAAGAGAGATTAATAGTGTCACCAAATTAGCTGTCATTCTCAATGAGTGGGTTTAAAATCGACTTTTTTCTTCGTATGTTGACAATTAAAAGAGCGCATTAAAGTTCAAAAAAGGTGAAGCTTAAAATTCTTTTAAATCCCGATGTGACAGAAAGAAGGGCGTCAAAATGGACCGTCATCCGTTGGTCCGAGATATTATTAAAACTAACAATTGCCACATGCAGGGATGGCTTCGCCAATTTCAACTACTAGATTAATTTATTCAGCTATTATTTACGAGATGTAAGTTTACCAAACGATTCAAGTTATTTCTATAATATAACATTATTATAAGTATTATTATAAGTATAAAATTAAAAGAGAATTTAACGATTTTTATGTTTGAATTCGAAAAATCCGGTCCTGGCTGGCGAACCGTTCCCGACGTGTCTCAGTGGCTACGAAGGCCTTGTAACATGTGCTGAGAGAGTGAGATAAAGAGATTTCTGTCAGAAAATGATTTTCCTCATTCCGTTTTCAGAGAGAGTAAATTTGGTATTCAGGAGGCATTTCCTTCTTCTTTGTGTTTCCCATTGGTTAACTATTGAACTCGTTTTACAAGCTGCCTCCAGTGGTGGATCCGGTTCAACGTTGAATTATTATCGTTAATGAATTAAAACATTTACCTAATTATTATATCAAATGAACTCTGAACTTATCTGCTAAACATGCAATTATATTTTTACCGAGCCCTTAGAGGTATACTGAAATATGTGTGAGATACGTCATTCTTTTATGCATTTTTCGTCTATTTAACAAACTCAGTGCTCGTATTGTTGTTGTGTTGTCAGTATTTTTGGGGTAAATGACCAGCTTTACTAGAATATTATAATTCTTGCGGGATAATGCAGTTGTATTTGCCGATATAATTTTAGTAAAACGAGCTAATTTTGAGACGCTAATAAATTTGAAACAAGTGTAGTCATTAATTAGAGTGTAATCCTACACCCCATCAGCAGTTTATGTATTAAACCCCCCGTTCGAAACTCGGTACGTTCGTATACACCTAACTTGCATATCTTTTAATTGAATCCATAAAATCGTCCTCCCTGCCGTATTTTATGCTCTTTCCTAATTTCAGTTTCACATTTTCAATCTACCACCAATAAATCACACCATAAAAATAATAAAAGTTATGGTTATAATCCTCATAATTTCGGGATATTAAATTGATAAGAATAACTATTTTGATTAAACGCTCATGAATAATGTATTAAGTTTGAACCACAACAACAACAAAAAAAAAGATTTATATGTCTATCGCTAAATTGAATTAGTCGAGTTTAATGGCTAATTTGCATATTAGAAAATTCTGCCCATTATGCGTATAGGTGTAACTAGATGAAATATGAATTAATTATCTACCTATCAATCCATAAAATTGAATATTGACCATAAACTAAAAGTGCCACAATTAATAAACGTTTTTCAAAAATGTCTATCATCTATATACAAAAATAATCCTCCTGAGGATGGAAGTGTTGGAATGAGTAAATCGACCTTATAACAAGTAGCAATTCGTTATGTATCTATAAATCATCTTATTAGCTTCACCATACCAAGAAAATATACGATCCATTAGCGAGATACATGGAGGGGTCGAAGCTTAAGTGGTTGGACCGAATTCAGGCAGTAAAAGCAGTAAAATTGGGCAACAATAACATGACATACTGTTAAATGTAGCTGCTATGAACTAGGAATTTACTAACGGTCCTCAATTAGAGCAGCGAGGCCGTCATGTCTTCCCTGTTGCCATAAACCCTCGGGTTACTATCGCTTCTCAAAGTGTTTATTATAGACATAAAGGTACAGAGTGCTCTTAATTCGTTTACGTTCGCGGACAAATTATTTCATTGTCTCATCGATACCATCCGCCTTGTATACAGTTGTCGTTTTAACGATATGTACATTGTTTCTTTTTCTTTCAAATCTCATATCGAGTATAGGGTGCGAATGCGTAATTCTCCCTTCGTCCCGAAACGCAAGACTTTCCTGAAAAATGCAAAAGAGGTGACGAGATAAAAAGCGCGAGTATCCAAGTCGGGCCGTTATCGTCTCAATTCATCTTTCTGTATCTCGAAGTTGTTCGTGCGTGTCGTGTTCTCGTGTTCTACAAGCATCACCATTGTAGCAGCGTTCCTGCGGTTTTCGGAGGCGGTTACCTAGCAACGCTCGGCGACGAAGGGTAGACGCCGCCGCCGACCGCCCCGCGGTCCCGAGGAGAGCAAGCTGTTTTAAGCAAGACACCCTGTTAGAATAATTATATCTCCAGATAACGGGATCATGGAGATTATCCACTTTCGTATCGCACCGTTTTATCTGTCTGAATGCCGGCTCACATACTCCAACGAGCCTTTCTCCTATCTGCCGTACTTGGATATTCTAATAATTATTATTCGCAATATGTTTCGAGTTTTGTTACAAATTAGTCAAATTTTAATATTCTTATGGCTATTAGTATGCTTCTTCACCACTGCTTCATATTTGGTCAAAAGTCGAGCTCGATAAATAATATCATTTGGCGATATATGTTCCTTCGTCATACATTAGTTAAAGAACATCCCTTTTGCGACAAAATTTTTTTTATCAAAAATCAATAGCTATATTCATTTTTCTTTGATGTCCAGCTGAAATTAGACGTAAAAACGTTATCTACAGTAATTTAGCCAACTTTCATAGGTCAGTGATGAATGTGACGAAACGTTTCATTAGTTTTTATGTCGCTTTTAGGGAATAGAAATATAATAACCGTTATTGGAGGGGAAATTCAAACTTATTAAATTGACTGAATGCATATTCTATCGGGAGTTAAATGGTGCGTGGATAATTGAACGACCTATTTTAATATACGTCGCCTTAATTAAATTTTAACATTTCACATCCATTCGAAAAATAACAATAGGTCTCTCTATATCTCTAGAGGACGCGCGAATACATCGATATCGCAAATTACTTACGGGGTTAATTTGTTTATTTAAAATGCCGAAAAAAAATGATTCGTTACAATTCACAAGCCACTGATGTTACTTTAAAAAAAAATGTTGGATGAATTATTACTCTATAAATCTGAAAATAAATTTTTAATGATTATTACGGTCCGAGAAGGTAGAGGTATATTTAAGGAACGTCGCAATAAAAATCGCGAAAGCATCGCAAGCGAATTCGTGTTTAGATCGACATACACATTACATTGATGTTTACATTAAGAGGACATAAATCAACTAACGCTGAAATATTCGATCCTAAAAGTTATTTTATATTTACGACGAACCTCACGGGTATTTACCAACAATATTCAGAGTCAATGCTCTATTCAACACAATCGCACACAACCAGGAAAGTCTTGTAGTTCTTAGGACTCAAAAGATTCCGATACAATTTTTGCGACACACAAATTAGGCAAATTTACCACCACTGGAAATAAAATAATTTTCTTTCGTGTTTTGTCGATAGTAGAATGTAATAAAAGTATGTCTGAAGCGACGCTGGGGAGAGTCGATACTTTTATATCTGTAAGATTCCACAGTGAACAGACCAGATGTCTATATAATAATCTATATATGCTGACAATGCTGGATGGAGCATAAGATGGGCCCCGCGGGATACATAAGCTCTGGGCGAATTCAATAATACAACGTCTTTCGAAGCGAAGGAGATGGAGGAATCGAAATGGGATGTTCGTGCAACAAGCCTGACCGGATATGATGTTCCCCGTGTTCTGTTAGAGCGAGAATAGTGAACACATCCTTCTAAATCATATAAATCGATGGAGATTCCCGCTTCCGGTCGCTGTTATTGTATATTAGAAAGTTTTTTATTGCTTTAACCGAATATTGATGAAACGGCGAAAAAGGCTTCCTACTGGAATTGCTCTTTGAAAAACTCGCTCATGCCCTATTGATGGTATTACAAACTTTTCTTCTATTTTAATCAAATCTTAGTAAACATTACAGCTATTTATTATACCTACAGGATTATATTTATACGTATAATATTAGGGATTTTAAAATAAACCGCCCTGTTCTTTTTTTAATTCCAACGCTGCAGGATATTTAGAAAACGATTTTCTACGACTGAAAATGCTAATTCAAACAACACAAACTGTATTCCTACTTCTATTTATTTTCGTTTGGCGAAACACTTTGATCGCGAAGCGGAAAAACGATTATCCCAAACTACACAAGAGGGAGGATTTTTATTATCGTTCGAATAATCATAACAAACGGTTTCCGAATCTTTGGAAAATTGATACTTTTAAAACAATATAATAATATACAATGTAGACAAAATCGATTTGTTTAAGTGTATTATAGGAAGTGAAGAATTTTAAAATGTAAGGAAAAGTTGACTATACCGCTAATAGTGTAATTACTTTATAGATATATTCCAAAATAACATCAATTCTCATATTATTTAAATTGAATCAAAATTTTCTCAATTATTTCTACCATTGATAAGGACGGCTTTTCCCTTTCATTTTTCATGCTTCCACTCGAATATACGTGTACACAACACGCCAACACCATTACAGGATCCAAAAAGAATTATTGGATATTTCCATATGCGAATAAAGCTCGCAAGGGCTCGATCTCTTTTCTATTCTTTTTTTTTTGCTAGACGTCTGCATCGGAAATTAGAGGCGTAATATATGAGGCTATTCGAAAACAAGGTTTGATTCGCACGACAGCTATCAGATCTCGGTAATTAATGTCTCAGGCATGTTTGATTTGCCAAGTTAATATCGCTACTGCCAGATGGCGCCAAACAAATAACACATACGTCACCGGTCATTACATATCCGGAGCTCAAAAGCCGCTCGCTGATTGGCCGGAACCAGCGGCGCGGCTTCGGGAAATCCCCGAATTTTCTTTTGTATTTCCATTTACCTAATTTAAATTAGTTATTCTAATACGGACCTTCGAACTTGCGCCATGTATTTCTTGTTAGATGCGGGTAGAAGTGATTTAGTGCGTTACTTAAATTAGCCCTTCGAGCTGTGATTGATCGTTTAATGAATTGTGCAAGCCGATTTATTCGATTGTCGATGCGGGAAATGAGTCTGGACGCCGCTGGGCGAATGAGAGGTTTTCGCTTTAAGTCCGGCGCCCGCAATCATCTGTACGATATATGATGTAATAATGTTGCAAACATATGTGCCTCTTTGTGCGATAAGGGAATTAGTATTGATATCTTCTAATCAACTGGCTAATGAAGAAAAGCATATGTTACCTTTGTATCCGTAACGAATAATCACTATTTTATAAACAGCGATAACAATAATAATAGGTATGTAATAATTAAATTGATATTTCGGTAAATAACATGCTTACTTACGTGTAGTATTGTTAAGAAGGAAATCTAGTATCTGTTTAAAATAAATAATTGTAAAATTAATTGATTCATCAGATTTATTTCAACCTGATATTTTCTATAGGGGGTTAAAGTGTAATTTATCATCTTGTATGCCCATATTGTGCGAACATTAATACATCAGTACTATTTCATTAATTGGCATTCACTTTAAATGCCTATTACAGAAATATTGACAGATATCTTTGTACCTACATATATGACTCATAGTTTTTGTGAAAGCTTGAGTTGCTGAAATGTGCTTAGCAATTGGTACTTACAAGTGTTTGAGAATTTTATTTTTTGTAAGCATGCAATACCAATGGAAAAAAAGTAAAAGTAAACAATATTTGTTATGAATATATACATATGTAGGTGAAATTGAGAATAATAAAAACGAGTAACACAATTCCCTAATTTCAAAGGCCCTAAATTGGTATCGTGAGACATACCATGTTTATTTCACCATAAAGTTTCGCGGGAATTGTAAACAGTATTCGAAAATTAAATTTAGTACCATGCGAGTTTTTTTCTTTGTTTCTTATGCACCTTACAGTGAAATAAAGAGCGTATCTGTTTATTAACAATGAAACCATCAAAAACCAATAAAGAAGTAACCAGATATTGTCCTGTTTTTTTTTAATGTTTTTAGTAGTTTCTGATGGTTGTCGTATTCACCTTTGGATTTGGTTTCGACAATCGCAGCATTAAAATGTAGACATAACATTCTGTGAGTATAACAACTCACTCCGGCTTGGTGTAAATAAGACGAATCGAAGAATCGAGAAAGGTCATTTTTTATGGGCTATAGTTATGCATAAATCTAATTGGGAAAACAAGAAACACAAACAAATCACTCTCTGCAAATGCTGAAGCATTATATTTATCACCTCAAGGTGTACATGTATTCGGATTGGAGCCAAATTGATAATTTATTCAGCTGCAAGTTTAATAAAAATACTATCATCAATGCAGTGGTATGCGCCAATATTATATTATTTATACACAAATGATTGATCCTTATATAGAATTACGACTGCCACATGTAGGTAATTATCTAGGTGTTAATCTGAACATATGTCAGTTCGACAGTATCATATTTAATTTCATGAAAACAGCTACATTTATTAGAAAAAAGATATAATATTTTGATAACATACAACAAATTTACACCATTTATTTATTGTATGAACATAATAATTAATATTACTTTTATCATTGTTAATAGGAAACAGATTTCTATAACTGATAACCGAATTTTACTTATCCTTCCTCTTTGTATTAATTAATAAAATAAAACGTAAACGATATCAATCACAGTAAAGCATGTACGAGAAAAAAGAATAACGATCGATCGAGCTGGAATTGAAATCGAAACATCAGGTGTCAACGCAATGATTATTATCGAGACTTAGATAAACCTATTAAGTCAACCTTCGTACTGTTTGTACGATGTGAGAGAATAAACAGCCAGAATCAACAATTTGCTCTTGCGGAGTGTTATGGGAAACGTGCAGATATTACTGTTTACGATACGAATTATGGTCATATAGGTAAACCCTAGGAGGACGTTAAATGATCAACATGCTAGTCACCATCTCTCATATTATACGGCACGTATTATTATTAATTAGAATTATTAACGTATTAGCACATCATTTGAAGAATCAACCGACAAAAGTGCTTTGTACATCATACGTATTATCATCAGATGAAGAGTATAAACAAATACGAGAGTTTCAGTGTATAGAAACTTTGTTTAAAAATACTGATGGATAAGTAGATATTGTGTATACTTTTATTATCTACCTATACAAATCTAGATTAACCATTACTTTATTAGACACTATGAAATAATAGCAATGAAAACTTAACTAGACATTTTTATGCTTTAATACTGATTTAATATCAAACAACATATTGTTTCACAGTTAACGTCTTTTTTTAACATCCAACAATGAAATTAAAATTAAATTCTTAACAGAAAACAATTATTTTCCTACAGTTATCACCAATTTTAATTAAAGCAATCTTATTTTCATTATATACTTAAGGAATTTGCACCTCTTGAAATTTTTATTGGTCAATTTTATTGTGCAGGTGTAAAATTATAATTAAATAAAAAACGAAATTCGAAAAGCCGAGTGATTAAAATTTGTATGCATATAGGCAACGTCTATGAAATTTGGGCCACTATAGTATCTTATTTATAAACGTAATATTAGAATTAATGGAGAACATTGTATCTAAATTAGTAATAAATCATAAACCCTGATTTTCACTCAAATATATTTTGAACTAAAATAAATTGCAAATTGTTGATAGCATAATATTTGTCCACCCTGTGATTGTCCCAACATTTTAATACATGCATGCTTATAATTATTAAACAATGCTTGCAATCGTACTTGATATTGAAAATATGTTTAATATTTTGTGTAAGGATTTAAAAAAATCTCTCTTATGAAACGTAAATTTTATGTTGCGCATGAACAGAATGTTTTAAACATGCGCTACTTGAGTAGAACTAAGTATGAAATAAACTAATATAATAACGTATTAATGTATGTGTATTATGTCAAATTTATATCTCAATATTTTGAATAAATACGTTATAAAAATTGTGTTAAGCATATAGGGTGTTAACATACGAAAGTGTCTCAAACTTCGAGAGATGATAGTATACCCTGTAAATATGTAGAAGAGAGTTAAACAGGTATAGGCAAAATTCATTATAATATAAATATAAAATATGTATTAAGGGCTGATAATGAAAAGAAAAAGTATATATGAGAAATAAGTAAAAATTAAGTAGGTACCTACTAATTTTCTGTAGGTATCTCATCCATAATTTAAATATATTTTTTACCTATTGGGTATATTTAATCATCTAGAAGTTTACCGAAATAATAGTTTTGTTTGGCTTACACACTAATTTAAGAATCTTTCATTCTTCTAATTTATGGTAGTTTTTTTACGGCGGGGCACACTGTAGATATGTATCTCATAGATATAAATTTAGATGCATAAAATATAATGTAGAAATTTGAATGAAAATATGGTATATATGTGCATATACTTACTGGTAGAAAGCCTTTCCCTCCAACTAATGGGATTGAGTCCCTGTATGCCGGGCCAGTAAAGTCCGCTGGCGCCCCTTCCGAGCTCGACGGTGGGCTTGCTGACCGAATTGGCGGCGTGATGATGGAAAAAGGCAGCGGCGGCAATGTTGAAACCCCTCAATCCGGAATTCGAAGCACTTTGAGCGCTGTTTGACGCCATACCAAGAGTATTTTGCGCGAAACCGAGATTATGCGAAAAGTGCAAAGCACCGGTCGTAATCTGGCTAGGCCTGGACAGGATGTGATCAATCCCGTGCGGATTGGCCCCCTGCGAGCTGTTGCTGTTGCTCGTCGCCCCCAAAGGGCTGCGGGACGTCAAGCCGGATCGTTCTACGTGCAAACTTGTACGTTCTAGCAAGACGTCCGCGTCGCTCTTATCTTGGACGTGGAGGTGCTCCGAATTGAGGTGAGTCTGGTGGTGGTGCTTCATCTCGGTCATGGAGTGCAGGGCGGCCAGCGGAGCGGCCAGCATATTTCTGTGTTCGAGATTCAAAAAGCCGAGGTTCTGGTGCGTGGCGAATTCCAGCATTTTAGAGACCGGCGGCGGCGGTGTGACGGATACCTCGGACCGGTCGCTGGACGCGTCGCTGTGATGTTGCGTCATGGCCACTGGAGACGCCGTGGTTGCGGTACTGAAGACGCGAACGAGCCGCGTCGACGGAGGTAACTCAAGGGCGATACACGCGCGGCCCTCACATTCACTTTGTCAACGAATCGGTGTCGTCTCTGTTGGGTGCAGGCCACTGTGGACATCGACGATGAACTGGACCTGGACCACCGAGCCGCAGTCGAGTCGAGTCGAGTTGAAGGGAGCGCGTTCGGATGGGATGTGAGGTGAATTCGGTGGGCGGCGGCCAGGAGGAGGTAGGTGATACCTAGTGGGGGATGTCTATAAACTGAACTACATGTTAAATATGTGCTACTGGTGAGCTCATTACGGGGGGCTCTATGGCAGTTAGCGATTCGGTGCGTGTCGCCCGGCTGCGTGGTTGCTCTCTGCTCTATTTTTGAAAGAGATTAATGCTTTTTTCATTGGCGAGGAGGTGGCACGTTTCTATTGAAAGTCGACTGCCATTGGCGGCAGTCTCGTTTATTGGCAACGCCCTTCGACGACGCCCTATCCCCCCAGATGTGTACGTATTATCGCGATATACATAGAACTCAATCTGTAAGAAGGTATTTTACTAACATAAACATGTTGTCGATGAAAGAAACCTTCGAATGGTTAAAACTGCTTTACCTTAACTTTAACTTTGTTTCTCTCGTCATTTCTATTGCCCTTTATCGATAAAACATCATTAATATTCTATTTTTTATTTTTACAAATATAATTCAATACTTATTTTTTACAATATCTATCGATTTTTTTATATACGACGTCAATTTCATTGATTTCCTCATTTCTTTGTTAATTATGATACTTCCTATTTAAAGATATACGTACTTAAATTTGTAAATACAACATTTTTATTACTTAAATCGACAGTTTAAATTATTTTTTCTATATAACCCATGCAAATTTTTTATTCTTACAATCTTGCTATTCTATGAGCAATTAAATATATTTAAAACACTCTGCAGAATTTTATACGAAACAATAGCAATTGTACTTATTTACAAATATCTATTAAAAAATCAACGAGTTATTGATAGAAGTATGCCGAAGGAATCGATGCTCACATAAGGCAATACTTCGTTCGTTTTTAGATTATACATATTTATCGTTCCTCTGCACACTGATAAAAAAATCATACTTTTTTTCCGATCTTGGTTCGAATCTCCAAGCGCCAATCTCGAAGCGCCAAAATATTATTTTAGTTTTTAAATTATTACATTCTATTTACAAATTCAATAGAATATTCTATACGATGTTCTCACAAAAAAGTAACAAATAATCGATTTTTAAATTTGGCTTTAGTTCGAACTTGCGAGACAAACGAGAGAAAGGGCTAAAACATCAGGACACTTTAGGTGTGTTTAACAACGTTTTAATTACAAACAATATTTTTCTATAAGCATGGACGTTTTGTAACAAAAAAGCAACACTTAAAATCGAACATCTAAAGAGCCTCACTCGATTCGCTTGAGCTTGAGCGGTCGTCGACGATAAAATCCTTGATCGCCATTTGGACCAATATATTTTTTCCTTTGAAAAATCGACGTGATATACCGCAATCAGATACAAATCGAGGTTTATAGTCGGAAAGGTGAAATCTATTGTCGCATTTTTTAACTGAAAACTCGCCGTATAGATCTCCTATAGTGAGATTTTGACATTTACATAGAATGCACTTTAAGGATTTTTATCTAATTTAAAAATAATGTATATAGAAGAGTAAATATATATTTTGATACCTATTATAAATATAGGTACGTTTTTTAACATAAGCAATTTTTTATACAGAGTGGACAATATAAAATTGCTCTGGAATATTTAATTATACAGCTAGAGTAGGGTAGGGTAGGCTAGGGTACAAATTTATAACAAGTAGCCACCTTAATTTTCATCACAGAATCGTGCACATCTTAAATTTTTTCGGTGTTGTGTTTAGATGCACCCTGTAGGTATATGGGTAGGTGCAAATGAACAAAGATAAAAACAAAAATAACAGTGATTAGAGTGAAAAGTTACAATCCCACAATATCACTTTTTTTTTCTTTTATAGACTAATGGATGTTGATGCCTTGGTTGCACCCATAGATCAAAATATCAATTAACATATGTTGGAGCTTTTCAACTAAATATCTATACTAATTTGTAAAAAAAGATGAAAGATCAATGATAAATGTATGGTCGTATTTTTTAAATTTAAATAAGTATTTTATTCGAAATTAATTTTTATTCCCAATTTTTTAATAAAACTCTCACTTCGTATAGGTAATTACTCTTCCGACGACCCGTTTTTGTTCGGTCCAAATGACGGTATTTGATGAGATCCGGGTTAAAAAAACTGGGAGATGATGTTAAAACGGAGGAAGGCGTTAATAGCGTCCTCTAGACTCCCAAGATAGGACTACTCTGCATATCATTAATCTTAATTAAAGTTGGATTTAGTTATCGTCTCTATTTTAAGGATATTTTCGGTCGAATATGCACTTATACGGAGAGATCTAGTTTAAATTACTCCTTTAAATATACAATAATTTACGCCCATTAATTTTCTACTTATTCTTCTACTCTATATTAATCTTCTACACCTATAGCATCAATGTACTAAAATTTTCGTCAAATTGATGACAGATAATAAGTTATTGTTAAATTGAAAACAAGACAAATTTACGATCGTGGCCGGCAATAAGGTAGGAGGGTTAATTTCCGTTTTCGGTAGATAGAAAATAGACTAGACGTGTTGAAAGTTCTTAAACGAATGGCCACTTAGAAACTCGACCACAAACAGTGGTGCCAATGAGAAATAGATGCTCGTATATTACTTACGCTGCGTTTAGTCGTTTAGTTTAGCTTCTCTCTGTTGGGACCAGAAAACTCTCGACTAAATGTTTAAGTGGAACCGTATAATATACGAGGCGGTTGCACCAAGAAAGTGGCCATTTTCATTTTCCTGCAACCCAAACGGATATAAATTTTGATTAGGCCAAATTCGAATAACAACTTAAATTTTAAAACGACGCGTTTGTTTGTTTTCGCAAGGACCCGTAATAATTTAGTTGTATGTCGGAATTTTTTTTCTTCTAATACAAAATATTGAATTTTTATGTCCGAATGTTGGGAACAGATGGATGTTAATATTTTGAGATTTAATCTAAATACATATGTGGTCTACAAATAGATGGATTCGAGTATATTGGGGAGGATTTACGACAGTGGCAGCCGCGTCATAGCTACCTGAACGAACGCTCCCCACGTTCAATGTCTCTATATCGAACCACTTTAGCAAATTTATTATTATCAGAAATCATGGAAAGATTTTATTTTTCCAGAAGTTTATGTCATATTTTCATTTTATTACTCGCGCTGTTAGAGTTGTAGAAGGAACTTTCATATAAAAGGGGACGGGAAATGCTAATTTTAGTATTATTGGTGTTATTTCGGTTTTTATTAGTCAGAAATGTTTGTTGCCAACACTTATTAACAACCAAGAATTATTTCGCTGACATTTAGAGTCACGTCACGGCTCGATTAATGATTCTGGTTAATTGAGCATCATGTGCCCAAAATTCACTTCTAACTTTTAATCACTAAAATTAATATTTCTAGATGTAAAGATAAATTAGTAAAAAACCAATACAGGTATATTTTTATTATATGTACCTAATGCAGGGTAAATTAAAACACAATCTGCATTCTGTTTATTTTTAATAATTTCTTAATTTTTTAACCTTTCTAGTACATTTCTTGATTATGAAATCTCCCATAATTTCTCAAATATACTGTAATGCTGATTGATGCTTTGAGGAACAAGAATTAGTAGCCTTAGAAAACATTTTTATAAGCAAACCGCAAATATCTTTTCAATAATCTGTGAGCCCTTGTAATGATGGCAAAACAACACCCTGTACATGATTAAAGTCGATTCAGATTTTCTATTCATCGAAGAAAAACTTTTCGCAATGAACGATAAACGGCAGAAATCGCAGCCAACTCAGAAGTGCCGATATTAATTCCATCTACTGACAAACTTGCAAAATATGTAATGCACTTGACGTAGGAGCTACTAAAGCCGGGGATTGAAAAATCAAATTACATAAATGAAAACACATTGCGAACTTTTTAATTTACGGCCGCCGATGCTGCGGACCAACGGTGTTGATGGCCTTTTTCGTAGCTGCGTATCAGCCCTCGGTGCACTTGAGCGAACAACCTCCGTGTCGGCTTACGAATTTGTCGTCTTCTGCGTTATTCGAATGAAAGAGTTTCTGTACCCTACTAAAAATTAACGGTAACTGCCGAAGAAAGCAAATTGAAAACCTTCAATAATAAAGGTACGTTTTCAATCGACATTTATTGCACCAATTTCTAGCCTCAGTAATTTAGACATTTAGGCCGGTACATGAACGTAAAGACAAACATTTTTTTACACATTATACTTACACGAGTCTCTCCACTTTAATAAATCCAATAAAATAATAACATACAGGAATATTATACCATGTACACGCGATAGAAATAAAGTCAAGAATTGCCAGATTGGCGCATGTTGCGTCTTTAGCAATTTTTGCCGAACTGTAAGTTAAATTATAGAATCCAATCGAATTACTTAATGGCATCAGAAAATATCATTTCTGTTAATGAAATCGATGCAAACAATTAAGAAATGAGCCGAGAAATGAACGGCAAGTCGCAAAGCCATCCGCCGATAGATCGGAGTAAAATTCAGTGGAAGGAAAATTTAATTAGAAAAATATTCCCAAGGAAACATAAAAATTGATTAACGACCGGAGTAATTGAATCACAAAGGCGCGAACCAGAAAAAAAGTATCCGAAGAATAAATGGAGAAATTTATTTCTCCTATGAAGTTTAAAAAGTTTGTAGTGACAGTTTTGCAAAAGGGAGCCGGGCTTATTGGAATTAATGACTGCCGGAGTGTAAGTGCGAGAACCGCACTGAAGGGAAGTGATTTAATATCGACAAGGGTCTTAATTTAATATGTGCCCTTCGCGTTATTAGTTACACACACAATGCTATTAATATAATGAAGAACTTGTAATAGGATTATCTTTGCCGATATGAGCGAATAACACGATGTGTCAAAACTCCCGTCATCTACACTCGCCTAGATTGGATGCTTCACCAATAAATATTAAATGCTCTCCTATCATTCTTCATCAGATTAGTAGCCATTCTTGTTGTCGTCAAATATTATTCCATAATAAATCCTATTACGCTAATTTTTAAAATCTTTTTTCAGAACAATTACAGTTAATTGGAATAATTGTATAGATGTAGCCAAATAAATTATTGCGCATCGTTTTCAGCTATTTCTATACTGCATTGTATTTATTAAGACAATGAATCACCATTAATGAGATCTCTGCCAATAATAATTCATTACAGATTAATTTTTGTTACAGCTTTTACTTTAAAAAACCAACAAAATGTTTCTTTCTGAATTTTCTATCAAATTATAGATATGTATAATATAGATATATTTATTTCTAAAAGAGCCGCATGTGAAGAAACTAATCACGAGCGAGATACCCGAGGATTTTCAGCTTCAACTTCTGGCAGAGATATTTATTTGAAAAAGGTCGCATTATAGATTCTATTCAAGTTTTTGAATTCAATTTTCGGGATATCGGAGTGCACACGGCATTGGTCAGTCGCTTTCGAAATTCAATTGAATATATCCCCGGAAGATAGATATATCGGTCTGGTCGCAGGGGTATATGGAAATGACGAGCCTCCTTTCACCATGTTCGGAAATCAGATCTTATTGATGCACCTGCGACCGTCTTACATTCGGCACGCCACGCCAAATATTAACAGTTCGGATGGAAAGAAATCCTTATTCGAAAATTGCTTTTACTATACAAGCTTACCTTTTCTAAAAATCCGCTGGTTTATTTGGCCAGGAGCGGCTCTACGCCCACCGTTCACGCTTCTCGCAAACCTAAAATTCACGGGATTTATAATGATCTTGCGATCCCATTGAAAGAGCGTGCACGCATAAAACAAAAATAAATCAAACGGATCCGCTGCCTAACGTGCTGATATCCAATTTAAAAGTAATCTAAATAGTTGGCATCATCTAGATAG